TCTACCCCTGAGCCACACCCCAGCCCCTCACTGGGGGATTCTAGGCAAGCATTGCATTGATGAGCATTATATTGAAGAGCTATATCATCATTGGCCATTTTACATTTTAAAGAAGTTATTTAAATTATTGTTGTTGTTATTATGATTATCATCATGTGTAGGGGTGGAGGAGGCATGCCTGCCACGACATGTATGTGGCGTCTAGGTGATAACCCTGTGGATCTGGGTCTCTCTCCTTCCACTCTTTATGGGTTCTGGGGCAATGCAGCATTTTTTAAAAAGACTTATTCATTTTTACGTATGGGTATAAATGTTTTGTCCGCATGTGTGTATGTGCGCATGTAAGTGTACCAAGTACTGAGGAGGCCAGAAGAAGGCTCCAGGTCTCCTGGAACTGAGTTTTAGATGGTTGTGAGCCACCATGTGGGTGGAAAGCAAACCTTGGTCCTCTGTAAGAGCAGCAAGTGCTTTTAACCTCTGAGCCATCTCTCCAACCCCTGCAGCAAGTGGTTTTGCACACTGAGTCATCTCAGTGTACGCAGCTTCCATTTTACTTTTTGAGACAGCGTCGCACTAAGCTGCTCGGGTGAGCTTTAAGTTCACTCTGCAGTGCACACTGGCCTTGAACCTGTTATTCACTCAGCCTCCTTGAATGTTCCACCAGGTCTGACTCAGTTTCCTTTTTGTTGTTTCATTTGTCTTTATTTGCGTTAGAGTGCACACGCACACAGACACCACACACTCATGCACACAAGCACACAAGCACACAAGCACAGGCACTTGCAAATGCGCACAGGCCCCGGGAGGCGAGAGAACAAGCTGTGGGAGCTTTCTCCATCTACCCTGAGCAACCGGGGGATTAAAGCCAGTCATTCCTGGCAGCAAGTGCCTCCACCTGCTGAGCCAGCCCAGGTTCCTTCTGAGGGGAATCAGCTTCCTATATACCTCCTGGGCTAGCACCCGCCACTAGTCTGAGGTCTCTTCAAAACCAAGAGAAGCGCTCCTGCCCCCTCCCTTGCTGGGTCACATTACAGCTGGGAATTCCTGCTCAACCCTTCTCCCCAAGACGCGTGCTTTAGGAAGCCCAGGCCTTTGTTCCCAGCCCCACCCACGCCCAGCTCCATAAATCTGCGGTGAGGTCAGAAGGTGGGGAGGGCGCTCACCTGTCCCTGCCTGCCCACCGTAACCCAGACCGCAGGGCGCCCCACCCTAGAGGATGCTGTCATGGGTGCTTTCAAATGTGACCCCGCTGCGCCCAGCCTCGACGGGGGGTGGGGGTGGGGCTGCCAACTCCTTATAGACACAAGCCTCTCCACCGCGCTTTAAACCAGCGCAAGGAGCGGCTGTGCTTGATGTCAAAGCCGAGGCAGGTTGCGCAAGGCGGCTGCACCCCAGTCACTCTGCTCGCTCACTCGGAATCTGACAACGCCCCCCACTTTGAAAAGTGTGAGACCGGGTCTTTCGTAGCCCAGGCTGGCTCTTACTGAATATCAGAGCCTGTTGTTAATCTTCCCACTGCTCCTTCGAACGCACTGGGATTAGCGGCATGGACCACCACACCCAGCCTTCTTATTTTCAGGAGTGAAATGGTTCCCACTAGTTGTCCCCTGATCTTCACACATGCACCATGGCATTCATACCCACATGTACACACACACACACAAGTGAATGTCAAAACGAAAGCAAGACTTTAACTATTATTGGGTAATGTGTGATGTGTGTGTGTGTGTGTGTGTGATATATATATCTCACACATTACCCATATATATATGATAGTCCCTGTGTGGAGATTAGAGGACCATTTTCATGAATCAGTTCTCTCCAACCACGACCTTTTGTGTTTATTTGTTTTGGTTTGGTTTTGGAATTTTGTTTAGTGCTTGTTTTGGAGACAGGAACTCGCTCTGTAGCCCCGTGTGGCCTAGAATTTGTTATGTAGAACGGGCTGGACTCAACACACAGAGACTGGTTGGACTCGGCCCCCTGAGTGCTGAGAGCAAAGGAATGTGCCAAGGATTTTCCACTTTGGTTTTGAGGCAGGGTTTCGCCTTCCTTGACTCTTCTGTCTGTCTCCATTCTTCCATTGCTGTAGGAGTGCTGGGAATGCAGCGAACTGAACCCGGGTCCTCCGGAAGAGCAGCCAGTGCTCCTAACCGCTGAGCCTTCTCTCCAGCCCCATATCTGCTTTTTCACATGGGTTCTGAGCACCAGTCTCTGGTTATCAGGCTTTCATGGCTAGTGAGTGCTCTTACCTGCTGAGCTGCCTTCTTTTCTTCTCCTCCTCTTTCTCCTTCTCCTCCTCCTTCTCTTTCCTTAAAACATGTTTTTAATTTTTAAAACTTTATTTGTATGGATGTTTTGCCTGCATAAATGTTTGCACACCATGTTCGTGCCTGGTACCTGATTAGTCCAGGGAAGGATGTTGGATCCCCTAGACCTGGAATGACAGATGGTTGTGAGCTGCCAGCACCAAAGTGGGTATGGGTAATGAAATCTTTTTTTAATTTTTTTTTTTTTTTTTTTTTTTTTTTTTTTTTTGAGACAGGGCTTCTCTGTGTAGGCTTGGCTGTCCTGGGCTCATTTTGTAAACCAGGCTGGCTT